TGCTTGATTTCCTAAGAGAGAAGGCTGCATGCCAGAATCTGCATGGCCTGTTATATGATACTCAACCTTAGTTACAAAAGGCTTTTCGTTTTTGTTTCTGGTTTGTTTTCTAGCAGCTTTGCAGACTGTTGGAATATTGCAGTCAGGTAGAAAAATTATAAAAGAAAGACCTCATAAAATCAGGCCTGGTCTGTTAGACCAGTGTCTAGCCTGTCACATCTTCTACATGCAGCTAGCACTTTGCAAGTTCCCACGTGGAGACTAACCCGGTATGAATAGTTCGTTAATATAACAATCTATTCCTGGGTAAAAAACAACCATCACCTGCATAAACATTAAATCTATCCCATGAGAATCAGTGAAGAAAATATGTAAACAGTTTAAGAATAGAGAGATTTGATGGACAAGTAAGATACCTTTTACTAACCAACAGAGTAATTGGCAAGAAATCTATTGTCCTGGTTTAGAGCAAATTTGGGAGAAAACCTCCAAAAGGAGTCCCCCCCAGAAAGCAAACCCACATGGCCCCTCCTCCCGACCGATTCGGGAAGAATTTCCTCGGAGAGAAGTGGGAAAAAACCTGTTTATTTAACAGGCACAGCACTCCTCAGCACAAAAAATGAGCAATACCAGATGAAAAAACTCATTTGTTGCTCTGAAGAGATGACAAATTCAGAAAATCTCCCCGGTGGGTGGTCACTCTCTTATCAGTCCCTCTGGCACTGGAAAAGGCTGCTGCCCAGAGTAGGCCCCGGCAGGCTACAAAGTGAGAGCTCTCGGTGTTTCCCCAGGTCCCAGACCAAAGCAGGTTCGAACAGTTCCAAAAAAAAGGGAAAGAAAAACAGTCCAGGGAACCTCTCTGCCTCAGCTAGCCAAACCAACTAAAAAACAACAGAGCGCCGTGTTCTGCCCCATCCGTGCCCAGACATCACAGTGGAGGAGTGAGAGCAGGCTGATAACAAAACTCCGTGCTTCTTCTTCTCCCGCCCTTCTCTTCCAGAGCCAGTCTTTAAAGCACAGAATATAATGTCCAGCATGAACAGAATACCCGATTGGGGATACAAGCATCATAACGTCACCCTAGGACACTATTAACCAATTAAAGTTGCGCACGAGGTCTGTAAAAACTCTATAAAAATGAGTTGTGTGAATAAAAAATTAGCTTTTCCTGCATGAAGAAAATGGAGTCTCACCTGATTTATTCCGATAAGAATATGTGAGAGGAACAGCTCTGCAGATACCAAGGTCAGTGGAGAAGGAGGGGCAAGAGGTGCTCCAGGCACCAGAGCTGAGATTCCCCTACAGCCCGTGGTGAAGACCATGGTGAAGCAGCTGTGCCCCTGTAGCCCATGGAGGACCATGGGGATGCAAAGATCTACCTGCAGCCCTTGGAGGAGACCCATGCTGGAGCAGATGGATGCCTGAAAGAAGGCTGTAAACCTGTAGGAAACGCATGCTGGAGCAGGATCTTGGCAGGGACCTGGAAACCTGTGGAGGGAGGAGCCCACACTGGAGCAGGATTGCTGGTAGGACTTATCACCCTGTAGGGGACTCACAGTGGAGGAGGCTGTGCTTGAAGGACTGCACCCCATGGGAGAGTGACCCACGTTGCAGCAGTTCATGGAGAATTGTTGCCCCCGGGATGGGCTCACATTGGAGAAGTTAATTAAGAAGTGTCTCCCATGGGAGGGACCCCATGTTAGAGCAGGCAAAGGCCTACTCTTCCTGGGCAGCATCAGAAACAACATGTGATGAACTGACCATAAGCCCCATTCCCCATCTCCCTCTGCCACTGGGGGAGGAGGTAGAGCTGGGAAGGAGGGAGGGGTGGGGGGAAGGTGTTTTTTAGATTTATTTTACTTCTCCTTTTCCTGCTCTGATTTTGTTAGCAATAAATTCAATTAATATCTCTGATTCGAGCCTGTTTTGTCCATGATGGTATTTGGTGCATGATCTCTCCTGGTCTTTATCTCAATCCATGAACCTTTTGTTATATTTTTCCTCCCCTGTTCAGTTGTGGAGGGGAATAAGAGAGCAGCTTTGGTGGGTGTCTGGCACCCAGCCAGAGTCAACCCACTACACCAATCCATCCATACCTCTCAATAAATAATACTGCATTGTCACCTGATGCCCCAGCCATGTCCCCAGCACAGATTCCTCACTGAGACACCTAGCACCAATTTCCTTGTTGCCATCCTCCTTCCCACCTGGGCCAGTTCCACAACTAATTATGGTGTTAATAAGTTTTTATTTGTGGGGAAAGGAAAGGAGCTGGAGAGAGGAAGATTTGCAGGGGAAAGGAAAGAGACATTCCTGGCTCATTCATCAGGCAGCTTTCCCCTTCCTCTTGTTTGCTGAGCTTTGACTGAGTCTGCCAGAGCTGTAAAGGAAAAGGAAGAGGAAAAAAGGAAAAAAAAGAGAAACTAAAAAGCAAGAGGAGCTAAAAGGACAGGCAGAGGGAGAGATGTTATCTTGTCTCTGCTAATGATTCATTGTCAAAGGATGGGTGAATGGAGGCAGAGAGCTAAGCATGATTGTGGACAACACAGAGGGGTTTTGCTGGGGGATACCCAAGGGGGCAGGAGTTAGGGGCAAGGGGATGAAACTGTACACAGGGGCATATGTGCTGATCAGCAGGAAGGGAAAAACCCAGTGAACCTGTCCTGAGGAAAGTGGAGGACCCAAACCTTATAGGCCATGGTAACACCCCCTCCTGTCCTGGAACACCAGCCCATGTGTTTCATGAAGCTCATCAAAGGACAAGTACTCTGCATGATTAGGGAATTTTCACCCTATCACAGAGCACCTGGCAGAGCCAGTCTGTGCAAATATCCTTGTCCTCTCCTGGGTAAAGCTAGAGGAGCTCACCACCTCCTCCTCATCTGAGTCTACAGCCTGACTTTGGTTCTGGCAACCATCTCAGAGCCTGGCACCTATCACTACTAAAAAATAGGTGGTCGTGATCTCCTGGGTTGGCCCCGGGCATCACAATTACCTGATGGTGGCAAAAAATGATGGCAAGATGAAAGCCTATTGCAGAGCCATGGAAGAGAAACAGCATGAGTCAAGGTCACAACCCTGTGGAGAGAGCAGTCTCAAATCAACCATTTTGGGGCAGGAGCGCCAGAAGACTCAGGCGCACCCATGTCAGCTAAGAGTCTTCTCTGACAAACAACACCCTCTCCTACCTTCTCCTCTGGAGATATAGGCCCCATCACAATGCCTGCACTCTTTCTCACTGCTACAGTCACCATCTGTGAGCCCTACATACAATATTACTGTGAAGACAAAATGTTTATTATGTGTTTTCATTCAAAGAAAACTTCCCATACATGTTAAAAGTCACTGTCAGCAGTTTCTTTATGCTTCCTTTGGCAAGGGTCTAGCAGAGAACTTACTTTACAGCAAAATATTTATGGCCCAACAGAAGCACTACTGACAATTTGAGATTCACAGCTCCAGCCCTGGGCAATGAGGCAGGTTTTTCTGAGAAAGTCTTCTACAGACAGCAACAAGAGACAAAACCACCATTAAAACAGGATGGGGGGAAACCTTCCTTGAGTTGCCTTTTCTGTTTGTCCTCACCAAGATATCTGCCACCATCTCAAACCATGAGATTCTCAGGCTCTGAAACAAACTCATCTGGAGCTTGGGTTCTGAAATGTTCCCAACCCTGGTGGCAGGGCTAGATTTGTGCTGAACTAGGTGGGGAGTAAGGACATGTAGAACCTTACTTCTCTGCTCTTCTCTCCCCTCGGTCCATCTCATCTATTCAGGGGACTTCACCAACTTTAAGAAGCTTTTTAAGCCCCTTGGGTGTGGATTTTTGCAACACTGGGACTGGCAAACTCAAATGTTGGGTTCGCAATCCCAACTGTTGGGCTTTGCAAACCCTTGGACAAAGGGCCTTGCTTGGAGCACATGTCCTTATTTAGCAAAAACACAATATGCAGGAAAAGCCAAGCATCTGTGCAGGCGTAGGTACTTTTGAGGTGGGAAGTGTTGATGCTAGCAAAGCAAATCTCTAGGAATCATAAAACAAACAGAATCATAGAATGGCTTAGGTTAGAATGGACCTTAAAGATCATCTCATTCCAAACCCCCAGCCATGAGCAGGGGCATCTTTGACTAGACCAGGTTGCTCCAAGCCTCATCTAACCTGGCCTTGAACACTGTCAGGGATCGGGGGTGTGGCAGGACGTGTCCTCCCCCTCTCTACCACAGATAGTTGGTGCATAAAGAGATAACCTAGGGGCTGAAAGGCCCAGCAAGGGGTCATCTCTGACACCAAAAGGGCTCAGGCCTCAGCTACAAATCACCATCTTAGTCTGGAGAGCAGATGTGGGAAGAGATAAAATAAATATTCTTGACTGAGACACACTGTTTTGCAAACTATAAAAGACACACGAGTTATCACAGAGGTAGAAGCCTTCTAAACACACACCCTGACAATTGTTTGAGACTTCTCCCCAGAGTTTGGATGCAGATTCTGTGGTTACTTTCCTGGGAATTGAGGGAAAGGATCTCGATGTGTGCCCCACCAACAATGGGATGGTAAGATACATGGAATCCTAAGTTGTATGATTTCTTCACTAGCTGTAAAATTAATAGGTACCTTTAACCTCGCACTGTATATATCTACTAGTATTCTCTCTTTTTGTCCTTATTCCTGTGTGGTATTAGTTTAAGTCTTATGTCTGTTAGTTTTGTATCTATTAAATAAATAATTCATTCTACAATGGACTGAATCAGCCATTATTAAAGAACTTGGGAACGAGAGTAGGTTTTGGGGTGGTGGCTGCCTCAATAAAGCTACTGCCTGCTGCTGGAGGCCTGGGAAAAAGTCAGGGACTTATCTAAACCTCCACATCCTTTTGTAACAGGGGGCCAGAGCTTCTTTGGGCAACTTCCAGTGTCATTTATGAATCATGAGCACCTCAGAGCTGCAACGTAATAGCTTGGCTCACCAGTGGAGAAGGACAAAGTCTGAAGGCATTTACCTCCCTGAGGCAGGTATAAATGGGGCAGACAAGAACTCGAAAGGGCTCTCCCATGCTGCTTCTCATGGTACTGAAGACTTGGCAGAGAAAGGTGATGAACCCCAGCCAGCGTTCCACATCCCGCTGCTGCAACTCCTCCTGCATGGTGAAGTCCTTCTGCAAGAAAGACAGAGACAACAGGCTACATCAGCAAAACCACATCACCATGAGAGAGGCAATGGCTGTCTGGAGAGAGAAATAAGAGAAAATTGAAATGGCAGGGGAGAAGGAAGACAGACAGTCTCTTTAGTAACAGCAGGGAGATTACTCAACACATGTGAAGTAGCTGGAATTTCAACACAGCAAAGCCACCAGAAAGCAGGTACTCGTAGAAATATTACCAACCCTATCAATATCTGTCATGGTTTGTGCTAGACATGGAGTCTCCCATGGCCTGCCATCCCCCCTGGACCGACATGGGGACTCTTTTCCATATGCACAACCAAGATCAAATAAAAGCAGGAACAAAGAGGTTAAATGAAATCCAGGAGAAAGACAATGAATGCTGGTGGCCATGCGGGGTTTGGTGGTCCAGGTGAACTTGTCCAGCCTGTTCATTCCTCTATCTTCAGCACAACCAGTGTCTGGCCAGAACCATCCTAATGGCCTGGCTACTCCCTGGGATCTCACAAAATTATGGTAATACTGGGTCCCTGACAGACCAGAAAAAGATCAGTGCAGCCTAGGCTTGGCATTGAAAGGTCACCCTGCTCTTGAGCTGATGGTTGCCATGACAAAGGATTATCCAAGTGACATGATTTATGGAGCTGGGGAGTCCTCCAGCTGGGGACATGTTGTGGGTTGACACTTGCTGGATGCCAGGCACCCACAAAAGCTGCTCACTCACTTCCCTCTAAACCCTCTGCAACTGGACAGAGGAGAGAAAATTTGACAAAGGGCTCATGAGTTAAGGACCTGGAGAGATGCCTCACTAAATAATATCAAGGGCAAAACAGGCTCAAATTAGAGATATAAGGTGAATTTATTACTAACAAAATCAAAGCAGGATAATAAGAAGTAAAACAAGACCTTAAAAAAACACCTTCCCCCCCCCACTCCTCCCTCCTTCCCAGCTCTGCCTCCTACCTGAGTGGTGCAAGGAGACAGGGAATGGGGGTTTTGGTCAGTTCATCACTGTGAGAGTCTGTCCAAATTTTCCCTCATCTGCCTCACGATCATCCTTGGGAGACCACTGAAGAGACGACCCCCCTGTCTAGAATATCTGACTCTGAAGGAGAAAAGTCACACGCCAAGGGCCCTGAGACCTGAAAGCTCAGTGTTAAGCTATTGTTTTCACAGGTGTGTTTGCTGTATGCTAAGAAGGGGGCACCGTGCCCCGTTTGCAACAATAGCAGCTTTGGAAGCTGTCCCACCTCTCGGCCTGGCTGGACTTCTCCTGAGTTTCAGGTGGTCTCCCACAGAAGACCCTCACCTGTTTTACAACCACCGTGACAGACAGACTGAGATGTAAGAAGCCTCTTCATCAAGGACTGAGACATGAAAAGGCCCCTCTGCTCCTTCCAAGGACTGGGACTGAAACCCTCAACCCGGGGGAGATGTGGGGGGGAGGCAAGTTGACCAAAGCGAGATGTTTGCCTGCAGGTTGTGACCACTGAACCAAGAAAACAATGGCTCTCATTTACTGCTGAGAACACAGACTACCTGTTACATCTGTTCCCTATTGTATCTGTTTCCCCTCCCTCACAATTTTCAGTAATAAAAACCTCTGAGTTAGCTAGAGCCTTTGAGATCTCCCCAGCGTAACAGGCGGATCCTCGACAGGACTGGACCAAAGGACTTCGTCTCTGTGTTGGTAGCAATATCCCCTCTCCCTCTCTCTCTCTCTTCTCTCTATCTTTTTCTCTCCCTTAATCCCTCTATCACATTTTTGCTGTGGTTATTTCAATAAAACTGCATTTGTTTTGATTATCACTGCAAACCCCCTTGTACCGTGTTGGTTTTTGCACTCTGAGATCACTCCTACGAACCATCAGGTCATCTGTTCACTAGGACAGATCCTGACAATCACCCATTTATTTCTCTTGCTGCTCAGGGAGAGGAGTCCTTCCCCTACTGCACCATGGAGTCCCTCCCACAGGAGACAGTTCTCTGCGACGTTCTCCAACATGAGTCAATCTCACAAGCAACAGATCTCTGAGAACTGCTGCAGCGTGAGTCCATCCCACAGGCAGCAGTACCCCTCAAACTGCTACAACATGGGTCACTCTTCCACGGAGTGCAGTCTTTCAAAGACAGGCTGCTCCAGCATGGGATCAGGGCCCCTCTCTCCACAGATCTCCCACAGGATTACAGCCTCCTCTAGACATCCACCTGCTCTGGCATGGGGTCCTCCACAGGCTGCAGGTGGATCTCTGCACTGCTGTGGACCACCATGGGCTGCAGAGGGACAGCTGCTTCACCATGGTCTTCACTACAGGCTGCAGAGGAATCTCAGCTCCAGTGCCTGGAGCACCTCCTCCCCCTACTTCTTCACCAACCTTGGTGTTTGCATGCTGTTCTCCTCACACTCATGTCTTAAGTTTTAGTTTTCATATTTTTAGATTATGTACTGCCTTAGTGTGTGAGTCTGAACTTCATATAAAGTGTTAGTAAGTTCTCTTCACAGGGTAGTGAAACAGAGTGGAAATTTTTCAGAGTAGAAATCCATTTTGGATTTAGGTGAAATGTGCCACTTTGAATTATCAAGTCTGTAGCTTGCAAGCATAACTGTTTTGGTCTGCATTCAAGACTGCCTGTTCTCACAAAAAACCTATGCTCGAAAATACTGATTCAGCCGAAGGACAGAGATAAGAAGGGCCCCTTGAACTTGAAACAGACGGAGACTGTGGCTGAGGCTGTGGGAGACAGGGCCGGGTGACCCAGGAGTTCTTTCTATACTTTCTGATAAAAAACTAGATGCAAGGGTAACTAGCTGCAAGTGTAAAACCAAAGCTGAAGTTGCAGAAGACAGGGCAAGATGACGCAGGAGTTCTTTCTGTACTTTCTGATAAAGAAAAACAAAACAACCTAGCTGCAAGTGTAACGGGAAACCAGTAAAATGAACATGTATGAACCTATTGTTAAATTCTATGCATATAAATTAGTAAGGGAGACAAAAAGGATCGGGAGTTCTCAGGGGTGCACATGTCCTTTAGGGGGACAACGATCCCCACATGCATCCAGTGCTGTAATAAACATACCGGCTTTATAACTTTTACAAAGTTGTGCAGTTTTTTTCTTTCCGCAAATCAGTAGGTAGACAAAACAATCCTTTTCCAGCTTGAGAACCAAGGACAGCTATTACAGCCTCAGGCCCAAAAAGCATAAGCAATAGCGAATTGAAGAGAGCAAACAAGGAGGATGGGACTCCATAACCTGAAGCTGTAATTGGACAATTAACCTCAATATGTAAATGGACCAAAACTTATAAAAGTGTGAAGATTCATGACCAGTCATCTATCTTGTGTCCATTTTGGGTCCATCTTGGGTGTAGCCACAGCCAGGCTCTTGTATTGCCCAAGGTGTATCCTTTAAATGCCTTTTAATAAATACCTACTTTATTCCTTTAACTCTGTCTAGTCTCTGTTCCAGGTCAGCCTCTCTAGGCATCAACATGTTCTCACTTCGCTCTTCTTAAGTCATAATTAAAACTGCCCCACATCCTTTCTTATTATTTCTTTTTAAACGTGTTATTACAGAGGCGTTACCGCCATTTCTAATTGGCCCAGCCTTGGCCAGCAGCATGTCCCTCTTTGGAGTCACCAGGGATTGGCTCTGCTTCTAGCAGCTTCTCACAGAAGCCACCTCTGTTACATCTCCCCCCTCCCACCAAAAACCAGGCCATGCAACCCAATACAAGAGAAAAAAAAGAGGGTTTCCCAAAGGCAGGATATAAAAAGGGATGTTTGTGTTGGGAGTGTGTGACAAAAAGAAAAGCAAATAAAAACCTTTCTAAAGGATGGCACAAGAGAATGCATTGCACTCAGAGACAAGAGGATTTCTCTGTGCTCTCTGCAATGCTACAGAGCTTCTCGCATGATATCCGATGTGATTTTGTTTGACTGTCTCCATGGTGACCATTCCTTGGTATTTAAAAGTAGTAGACACTACATAGTAGAAAGTTAAAAAACAAGACAAGTTTGTTATCAACACTGTGTGTTCCCAGTGTATGTTGCATGACATTTGAAATCCAGCAACTAAATAAGTTATTCTTTATCTTTTTCATCTCTGTTTATTCCTACTGACTGAGACAAAGGGCTTTGCTGTTGTGAATGCTCTGACCTGCTGCTGTATTCTGGAAAGCCAGAGAGATATGAAGCCACCATACCAAAGTTTGGTCTCATGGCCTGGACAACACATAGGAGGTATTTCTTTTGAAATAAAGGTAAGTAAAGCAGCTGCTAAAGAAAGAGATGCAAAATTATTTACATGACAGAACTCTATGAACAGAAGATCCAAGACAGGAGCTATTTATATGTTTCATTACAAAAGGACAAAAAAATTACATCTGCAGGAAAAAGCTTTGTAAAATAACTGAGGCACTTATTAACCAGACAGTGATGACTAATTTATCTCTATACTCATTTCTGTAAGGCAATTGCCCAACTGTGTCTGTGACTCTGAAGTCAACCTGCAGCCAGATCTTGTTGGGTCTTTTCAGACTCTCTGGGGAAGTTTGCAGAGTTCATCCCTTTATTATCCAGTCAGTCCCATGGAGAAGAGAGTTATTTGCCAGCTCAGGTTATTACCCCAAGGTTACCAAATTATTCATTTTGGAGTTTTCACTTGTATTTTAATTTTAAAAAATGTCAGAGAAATTATGTCCTGACTACTGAGAAATTAAAAAAATGAGTGATAGCATCCCATGTCCATCTTCTGCTTCATCCACCCATAAGGTGCGCAAAAAACACCCTTTGAACCATGGAGCTGTTCTTTGTTGCCCTGAGATGTCTCCCTCCTCGGACTCTGAGCTGTCTTCCACATCTGTCTTGGGGTGACTTCATAATACTGTATCCCCTATCATCTGCTTTATGCCCAGACATGAGTCCTGGACCTTTAAGTTAGGTCTGGGAGAGAAGGTGGTGGAATTCATTCGGTGGCCTGTGTTCAAAACTTTG